TGTGTGTGTGTGTGTGTGATCGTTCAACAGGTGGTTGGGGCGAGTGAAATTGGTTTGACCTTGAGGTCAAAATGTGTGAATTGGTCACTTGGCATTAGGGGTGGGGATGAGACTATTTTGTATGCACAAGTGTTAATTGTTACCACAACTGCGGAATGACTGCCCCACTCAGGTCATTCAGAAAACAGTGCTCTCTCCTCGGTCGCAATTGAAGTTAGCTACTTTCAGTGTTCGAACCCTTATGCAAGTTGGGGCTCAGACAACACTCGCTCACACATTGGACGTTTGTTACCTTGCTGAGAAGCGCTTACAGGATTCTGGCACCGTACTGCAACGCGTTTTACCGTCTCCGAATTGTACAAGCTCGTTCACCCTGCGCCTCCGGAGATCCGGTCGCGGAGGACGCTGGTCAGACTGGTGTGCGTATAGCAGTGAGTGCACGTGCAGAAGTAGCGTTACCCGACTGGATTCCAGTCAATAGTCGACTGCGCCATCCATCTAGAAGGATCGGTAACAACATCTCGTAATGGGACCAAAAAGCTCTGTCGGTTCGTCATCGTGACTCATGCGTCCACAAACTGCAGTCCCGATACGGCGAGTTCTACCATCAAGTCACCAACCCCCATGGTAGACGGCACACTGACATTGTGATATTAGTCGGCGATTTGAGCGTGCAAGTCGATAGGTTAGACGCAGACGAATTTCACTCGGGAGCCGGCATAGCCTCGGTGTTAGACGCTCGGCAAGAGAGAGCTGTTTGCAGTCCCGGATAGGGGAACGGGCGCTACCTCGCGGTTAACCGTGAATAAGTTGGGTTTATTCTCACTGAATAAGCGGTCGCAGAAGATCAGCGGCAGTGCTCGAGGATGTGTTTGGTTTGCCACTTGGCAAGGGTTCTCCGTACAAAACACCACATGTACCGTATGACCGTACTGTGACTTGGCGAGTGTGTCCCGCCACTGAATATGAGCGTTGCTCCTCTTGTTGAATTCTATCTACCCGACAAGGTCTTACAGAAAAGGCGAATGAACCAACCAACCGGTCACTGGTTCATCTGGAACAATACTGCTGCCTTGTAGCTGGCGCTTGATTGTACAAGGGCCAGAGTGTACCCACGAACAAGGCCTACTCTGAACTGGGCGACCGATTAGTACCACTGCCCACAATACAGACAAAAAACCTTAAACTAAGCACCAATTCGCTCCTTCAGTCTACCTCATACAAACGCTTCACACCGTGAGCATCTTCCTGTTTCCCACTTTTTCCTCCACCTCACATTCACCTCCTCAAACATTCCCATTGTATTCAGGATCTCCAGGCGATCGTACTCTCAGTTGTGCCTCCGATGGAAATTCCGCTCCTATTCTCTTGCGTCCTGCCTCGAATAGCGTCCAAGTCTCACCGATTCTTTCTCCACCAGTCAAAGCTCTTCTTCTTCCCCGATGCCCGTTCCAACTAGCCGCTTTTATCGTGCATACCCTGATGCGTATAAAACAACAGGCATGTTCAACTCGTACCCTCGAGACCCTAACCATTGATGTGTGTTGTGTCCAAGAAGCTCGCGTCCAAGACTCTAGCTCCAATCTCCGATTGACGTCCCCATCAAACCCATCTACGAAGTTTCACTTACATCTTTCTGGGGACTCTGAGGCTGCGGTTTCTGATCTTACTGGCGTTGGCGTGGCTCTCAGTGAGAGAGCTAAAGCCGCGCTCCTAGATTAGATCTCAGTCGACAGTAGGTTATGCACAGTGAGACTTAGAGGTTCGTGCAAAGTAAGTAGTGGTCGCTCCGAAAGAAGCAGCTTATGTGTCGTCTCAGCGTACGCACCCACTAACTGTAGCCAAGAAACAATCAAAGATATTTTCTACCAAAAGCTACACGACCTCTTATTTAAGGTAAATCGGGCTGATATCGTGATTTTAGCTGGAGATATGAATGCTGAATTGGTCCGTTGACCTCGACTGGGGCACATCTAGATTGTCCTTTCATGTTAGATTCCTGTCGTTCGGAAAACAGAGAACGGCTGTTGGCTCTATGTTCCGACCTGTTCCTTGCCAGTACGAACTTCCGGCGCTCCAACTACCGGTACGCCACTCGGCGTCCACTCTGCTCGAGTCTGACAAACTCAGATCGGTCACATCGCTATCAGCCACAAACGACGGGCTTGCATACAAGAATGCCGATCGTACTGGAGCACTCCCCTTGAATCCGATCACGCGTTAGTTTGCACCAAGCTATCCGTTTGTTTCGGTGGGCGTTCGGAACGCATAACACACCGACGGTTCGACTGCGATAAGTTGTCTCAAACAGCATGCGTAGTTGTCTTTACAAACGCGCTGGCTGAAAAGTTAGAACCAACATTAGTGAGCACTGGTCGCTTATCACTAATGCTCTGCGTTCTACTTAGTCAGTTATGGTCTGATACGTCACGTCGTGACACCCTGGATTTCCACTGAGTCTCTGCTTCTTCTTGACGCACGTCGGTCACTTCCCATCCGCAGCGAGCGTAACGTAACATGGCTTGTAATGAAACGTGAACTTAGCCTAAGCCTACACAGAGATCGCAAAATGTGGTGCACTCAAAGAGCATCAGAGATGAAAAGTGCTGCCGCCATGGGAAATTCCCGTAAGCTGTTTCATCATATGCGAATGAAGATTCGAATATGTCCATGCCATCGCCTTGTTGGGTGACAATGCACAGGCAGTCCAACAAGCTTTAAATCACTTAGCCTTGGAGGTATCCAGGTGTGGTTTGTGTTTTGCACCTTGCAAGCGCGAAGTACTTGTTCAAAACTGATAGGAGTCTGTGCGTGTGCTTACTCTTTCTGGTTATCATACAGGAATGTTCGAGAGCTTTAACTACCTCGAGAGCGTGATCGCCGCCGGTGTTGGTGTTGGAGAAGAAACCACATCACGAACAGCGACAGCTGGGGCAGCTTTCGCCAACCTGCAACACCTGTGGCGCCGCCATGACATCCGATTGTCCCTTAAGGGAAGGGTTTACATCTCTGCGGTTTTTAGCGTTCTGCTTTACGGTTGTGAGACCTGGCCTCTGAGCTGGGGATCCTAATCGACTTTCTGTATTCGACCACCGATGCCTCCGAAGCATTGCTCGATTCTGGTGGGAACATCGGGTGTACAATGACGAGGTTCATCGTCGTGTGTGCTGGGTACTGATAGCAGTTCTCTAACGGAAGAAATCGTTTTACACCACCTCCGATGGCTCGGTCATGTTTTGTGTATGCCTGCCCATCATCTACCGTGCTCTCTTTACACGTGCTCGGCAAGGTTGGAAGAAGCGCGCGATCAGACCACGACATGGTGTAGAGGTATGCAGAAGTTAGCCTCAGCATTGGCTTCGGTTGCTGCAACTCGCCTTCCAGGTTGGGGCCCAGGGGATGAGGATTACCGATGACTAGAGACACTGAGAGATATGGCTCAGAATAGATGTCGGTGACGCGATTGTTGTGCGGTTTGTTTGTCGAAACAGATAAAAAATCTTCAAAAGGTGTATGGTGAAACTATCGAGAAAAAATCATTTGGTCATTCATTTGTTTCCGTTGGTCTCCGTTTTCCCCATTTTCATTTAATCCTTCTGTACCCTGTCATAACTTCATTCCCATTGTTTTGCGTTAGCACTTTGCTTGCTCCCAGTCTGGTGTTATATATATAGGGATTTCATAAGAGCAAGAACAAGCATCGTCACAGGACAGGTTGAA